GGTTCAGGTATTGCTGGTTAGGAGCAACTTCACAGCTGCTGGCTCTTGCGGTTCATGAGGATTTCTCTTTGGTACATACATCTCATTTAATCATTTTCGAATGAGCTGTACATGCTCTCTCGCTATCTTTCCTGCACTCCATCAACAGACTGCATACACAATTCCTAGGGTTATTCACAGAACGTTACAGAATGGTCAATAGAAGAGGGGGGGTACTTCTTTTGATTTTAACTGTTTGCTCTCTAAAGCAGGAAGGCTGCCCCTCCCCCTCCACTCCTCCCCTTCCCTAGTGCCACTAGGAGCTTAACAAAGCAGTATTATACCTCGACAACATGCAAAGTATGAAATAAAGTAATAATAATAATAATAATAATAATAATAATAATAATAATAATAATAATAATAATAATAATATTATTATATTATTATTATTATTATTATTATTATTATTATTATTATTATTATTATTATTATTATTATTATTATTATTATAACATCAGTTTGTGGGGTGTTACTGCCAAAACCACCGTATGATTATGTGTCATGCCGTGCCTCCAGTGGTGCAGGTAGAAATTTACTTCGGTGGCGGTACACAGTAGGCGCCATGCAGGCAAGTGTGATCCAGTGCCATCTTGTGCTCTGTACTTTATGGCATAAAGAAATTTTAAGAGGAGCACGTGCCTAGAGTGCCACCCCCTGTCTATGCTTTTGTGCGTTTAAGAAAGGTAATAGCGCACTGAAAACAAGGATACGAAGGCACACACACACACACACACATGTAGCGCTACTTTTAAGAGTTTTATTTTGCAATTCCAAGGCTACTTGTAGGGCCAAAAAAAATAATAAATATGCACACATCTGTTGCGCAGTATAATAAAAACATTACTGGGCACTAAAATGAATGCCAAGAAAATCAAATTCTTTTTTTGTCAGCGTGATACAGCGCATGACAAAAAAAAAGTTTTACCTTTTTGGCATTCGTTTTGGTGCCTAGTAATGATCTTGTTCTACTGTGCAACAGATGTGTGTATATTTATTTTTTGGAGGGGCCCTACAAGTAGCCTTGGAATTGTAAAGTAAAAGTGTTGAAAGTAGCGTAATGTGTGTAGCGGGCGTGTGTACATGTGCGTGTAGGTATGCCTTCTTTGTGTCCTCGTTTTCAGTGCGCTTTTACATTTCCTAAACATGAAATACCAACGTGCCCATTAGTCCACCTTGGTGAGCTACTGTGTGCCTCGCCCTCTCCCCTGGTGCCACCCTTCCCCCGTTACCTAATAAAGTGTGTATCTTATCAAATCAAATCTGATATCTCGTTGCCCATAAATTTAAAGATCAAATAGGATTTTCCTATTAAAAGAGTGTAAAGCCATTACAACATAGATTCATTTATGTTGCTAAACCATTGTTCTACTTTTTTGTGTGTACATAAACACACGTTTACATTTTCTGAATGTGCACCTCATTCTATTAGTGCCCATCTTACTTCGATGTGAATTTTGTTGTACCTTAATATATTTGTCTTGCTTTGGACTACTACTATGTTAGTTATCATTTTATAAAAGTCATGCAACTTTTTTTTACCTTTTTAGCGAGGCTCTTTAGGCATGCAATCCGCAATCACTACGAAAGCTCAGGGCAATGGGGAAAGCACGCCGAGCAAAAGAACAGTTGTGCGCTGCTGGCACATGCTGTGCCGGGTGTGCTGCACATTCACTCACTCAGTCGTTCCCACCATCGACTGCCGAAACACTCCCTCCACCCACTCACTCCCCCACCCTACCGCATTCATGAAAGCCAGCGGCGAGATAAGGCACATGGTCATTTGCGTCCCATTTCTAAGAATCTTCGCTCATTGGTTATATTTGTACAAGGAACAACTAACTGCTGATTTCTTTTGTGACTATTTATTTGCAGCTGCATGTACGGTCTCTCAGGTCCCTTCAAGCTGTCAAAAAAAAGCTTGAAGCTGTTTTTGACAGCTTTCTGTCGTGGGAAGCCCAACTTTTTTGTGTTGCAAATGAAGTTCAAGTTATAATGCCTTTCACCGGCATCAAACCCGCAGCTTTCGGTTCAGAATACAAGCCCAGTAACCACAAATTTATTCAATGAGTACAGTGGCAGTGAAAATATATATATATATATATATATATATATATATATATATATATTAATGAGATCTAATGGACAGTAATGCCAAGGAACGTACAGGGGAAGTTATTAGAACCAATGGAATGTAAATAAGAAGAAAGAAAAGTGGATGAAAAAATAACCAGCCGTGAGCAGGAATCGAACCTACGACCTTCGAATAACGCGTTTGATGCTCTAACCACTGAGCTACCACAGCGGCCTTCCCTTCATCCACTTTTTTGGGTTTATATGTGAATTAGAAGTAGGAGTGACAGTCAGGAGTGACAGTATATATGGCGCTGACTGTCACTCCTATTTCTAAATTCACATATAAACGCAAAAAAGTGGATGGAGGGAAGGCCGCTGTGGTAGCTCAGTGGTTAGAGCATCGAACGCGTTACTCGAAGGTCGTAGGTTCGATTCCTGCTCACGGCTGGTTATTTTTTCATCCACTTTTCTTTCTTCTTATTTACATTCCATTGGTTCTAATAACTTCCCCTGTACATTCCTTGGCATTACTGTCTGTTATATCTCATTATTATTGTGTCAAAACACGAAAAAATGAGCCCTTAGGTATACACTTCTTTCCCTCATTTCATTTAACGAGGGTCTCGTACTGGCAGACTTGGTGTCATAAGGTTGTATACGAGGGACTATTAATCAGCTGCCCGCTCGTAATAAGTTCACGTGCTACGTGACGCCAAACATGCGCATAAAAGAGTGGTTCACACTCGTCGCTTGGCTTATAGATGGCACTGACTGTCACTCCTACTTCTAAATTCACATATAAACCCAAAAAAGTGGATGGAGGGAAGGCTGCTGTGGTAGCTGAGTGGTTAGAGCATCGAACGCGTTATTCGAAGGTCGTAGGTTCGATTCCTGCTCACGGCTGGTTATTTTTTCATCCACTTTTCTTTCTTCTTATTTACATTCCATTGGTTCTAATAACTTCCCCTGTACATTCCTTGGCATTACTGTCTGTTAGATCTCATTAATATTGTGTCAAAACACGGAAAAACGAGCCCTTGGGTATACACTTCTTTCTCTCATTTATATATATATATATATATATATATATATATATATATATATATATATAAAGTTATTTTTTTCATCCCCATGAAATCTACTTGTGTGTTAGGTGAAACTAAGCAAGACAACATCAATAACTATAGGCCTACACAATGCTTTCACGTGGCCAACATGACTGCGATCGTATGGCTTTTTCTTTCTATATTTTCTTCCCCCCTCCCTAGATACTCGTATGTCGAAGAAGACGTTTTTGTTTGCCCACATAAAAATTGCCCAGTACAGCTCGAGACGCATGCGTCAGAGAACACAAGCGGCGGTGTATGGTACCTCCACAATGTGAACGATCGATGTACAACGATATATACTATCTCTCGTCTGCGTCATCAATGATAAAACCCATGGCGACCAGGATGAGTACATATCTCACTTAAATGGAGATCTCCGTTCCTGTCAAGCTGTGACGGCAAACGTGATAAGCCTCACTGCATGCATGAAGACGTGGTTCTTAGACTGGCAGTGTGTCTGCATAGAGTATTATGATATCATTCTATCTTGACTGTTTCATGAGCACACACCTATGTCTCATCTCACAAAGTAGGACACATTGACAAAGTAAGATTGCAGTCGTTATGTATTTATCAAGTTTCACAAAGACAAACTCTCATGATTATACGACATTGTGACAGATTTATGATCTTGGCACAGAAGCTACATGCAGGAGCAGAAAGCTCACCTTGCACGTTCCTTACAAACACACCTCCTTCTGAACTTGTACAAAAAAGGGGGGAGGTGAGGCCCCCTCCCCACTTTTTTTGCGAAGTGGGCCCAAGCACTTCCAATAACTGGTGACATTAAGCTATGAATATATTCTCCAAGACTATCGCAATATTCTAAGCAAGCAACCCCCCCCTTCCATGAAGATTAATCTGACCAGAATTGGAGCGGAGGGAGGGGGGCATGACCGAAATTCAGGATGGCAGTGAGAGAGCTGCTAAAAATTTTGAAAATGCACATCTAGGTTTCTGGTGAAATGCTTCATTTATTTACATGACAACGAAATTTCATAAACAATATTAGATATGCATTCAGTGTACTCATTCTTGTGATTTTTTTTACAGAAGCGATGCTCATCGTGGAAAAAAAATGCAGCTGCAGGAAAGGATGAGGGCAGGGACTGGGGGTGGGGGGGGGGGGTGCTGGCTGGGTCATTATCACTTATTTCACATCTCCGAAAAAAAAAGGAAGGGGGTTGTTTGCTGGGGTGAGAGGCGCTTGTTTGGCATTTTACGGTACGTGCAGAAACACATAACTGTACTGCATTTCGAAGCAGCCGGTAAACTAATTAGTCATGGTGTCATTCCATCATATATGCGTCCACATCATACTGACTTGCAGCTGCAATCGCAAGAATCCATGAAAGAATGGCGCAGAACTTAGCGTGTGTTTACATGTATTTTAACGTAAAATCCAATAAGGCCTCCAACAATGAATGAAATCACTTCATTTCACACGCCCCTAAATCACATGTCCCTTTCACATGCCCCTAAATCTTTCACATGCCCCTAAATCTTTCACATGCCCCTAAATCAAAGCCAATCGAAGCAGTTTGCATCATTTCACCCCCATTAAAATGCGGCTGCCATGGCCAGGAACCAAACCCACGCTCTGGAGCTTGGCAGCACAACACCTTTCACACTTGTCCAACAAAAAGTATATATCAAATAGTTATTCCTGTCCTCGTTGAGGTTTCGGCCGTACCACGGCCGAAACATTAACCAAGAATAAATATATATATATATATATATATATATATATTGAGAAAGAGAATGCATTAGACTCACTCGTAGGCATTCCAGATGTCCTTGCATGTTCCGTTATTGCGGCAGGGCGGGTCCTGACTGTTGTTGCAGACGTCATCACCCACTACTCCGCTTTGCACGTTGAGACTCAGCACTGGCACAGCCAAAGAGTTATTGCTATCAACTTCATCCAGATCTTCCGCCTTGAGCAGCTGGATGGGCCGGTCATTGAGCTGCACACAGGCAACAAAGGTGACGCAAACAAAATAAGCCTTCCACCAAATTCTGCTCGGCATTTCAGCACTACTAGCAGCTCCTATTTTTACACCCTTTAACGTAGCTGCCATATACGAGATTTCAGACAATCCGTCCCAAACGGTGGCTAAAGCGTGCATACCACGAGCAACGTTGATGCACTGGCCGACTGACACTATACATAGTTCTTGGCCAGGTGCTATTGTGGACCTTAAAAGCTCTCCTTATCTAGTTTATCTAGTACTCTTATCTTTCAGTACACAGAGTAACATATCTTATCACACCTGGAATTCAAAGCACTTATGCCAGTTACACGATTGGGTCGTCCGCTTTTTTCGTGATGCAAAAAGAAAAAAGAAAGAGACAGAGAAAATTTTATTTCTCTTCTTTTACTTTGATGCCGAGCACCTGACTTGAAGCTGCCGTTTTCCGCAAGCCATTGTTATGTTCTGTAAATGCACTAAAAGTGACAGTTTTTCTGGGTGTGCTTCAAAGCATGGCTGAATTTTTTTTTTTTTGCTGTTTTACATGTAATTTGATTATAAGACACTATGCAAATACAGGAGCAGATCAAAAAACTTATCACTTTTGTTGTCTGTGTTTTAGCTTCAGTTGAGGGGACACTAAAATGAAGCAATAAACTTCACTCTCAAAACTGTCGCTAATTCCACCATTATAGCTTTGAAGGGACTCTAAGACCAAAATAATTTTTCACATATCAGTAAAGCACAATTTCACAATTGGGAAAGCACCCCACTTACCGTGACAAGATGCTTGGTGATAGAGAAAATGCAGGGAAAAAAATGCACGTGCAGACACCACCTTGGGATTTTCGCACCAAACACTGTGTCATCACAGATTTTCAAGGAGTCTACTAGTGGGTCCTACATAGCTTCTAATCGATAAAATTGTAGTACTTTATCATCTGAGGCTGACATAGACCTAGCAAATTATAATGATAGCTTTGTGGGGTTTAACGTCGCAAAACCCAATATGATTATGAGAGACGCCACCTAGCAAATGAAGTTTCCGAAAATTTCATTGAGCCAATGCCATGAAAGTACCAAAAGACATTTAGAAGCTCTTGACGACACGCGTGGAGATTTCGACAAGAAATTTTAAAACGAAACTTTGAGCTTGATTTTCTCCGCTAATAATGAACTTATGACAGTCAGACTTACGGCATTAGAGTTCTCAGAGTGCAGGTTATCAATCTAGACCAAGTCATCGTTGCTGTTTTAAAGTACGATATTCCTTTCACACCAAAATATTCATGCGTGATGCCGAGAATTTTCAACATGTATTTTACATAGTTTGCCTCCTCTAGAACAATGAACTTCAATTTTACCAAACAGAAATGACGTAGGTCCCAGACGACGTCAAAATTATGAAGTCATGGGGATTGGCACGAGAACTTCAAGGTGGTGTCACCACTTGCATTTTCTTGCACTGTTTTTTCTGCTCTGCTCAAGTGCTTAATTAGGCAAGGTTTAGTAACCAAGTTCTAAAGCACCAAAGCTGGGTGAAAAATTTCCATTAGAAAGCTGTAATGATTTGCAATATGTCTTATTAGACACTTTCTGTATAATTTTACACTTGGTATTACAGTTGAACCCCTTTATAAAAAACGTGCATGAGGGAGCAGTTCTTGCCTTTTATATGAGGTGTATCTTATAATCAGGGTATCACATATGCATTTTCTTATCAAGCACTATTTCAATGTATGCTGGTGTCTCTTATACCCATTAGTCTCTTACACCTGTGTCTCTTACAAAGGGGTTTGACTGTAGTGTTTTCTGCTTACAACCGATGCCTACGAATACAAAAATACATTACATGCCCACTTGCGTACCTAGGGTTACTGTATATGCTAGCTACTGTATATATAGTAACCCTCTGCACCTTGACTGTAGTGCTCAATCCCGAATGTCTCACGTGCACACGATGTGCTTAACTTGCAGCAGTTCATGGCAGCGGTAAGCTGAAGCAGCTGCTGATAGCAACAGGTACGTAGCTCCACAGCCACCACTATCGTTGGTGCCCTGTTGCCCCCTTTTAAGCAGCAGTACAAGCGGCTAAATGCTATATTAGTTTGCACACGGAGCGTTATGGGCACCACCTGGCACTACGATCGCAGTACACAAGGGGAACATACACAGCAACTTAAGTGCATGCACAGAGGCGCGCACACGGTCATATGCTAAATGTGTTACCGGGGAGAAAGCGAGTGGTGAGAAGAGAGTGGTGTCCCGTAAGTAGCAGGAAATCCGTAGATTGTTGGAGATGGTCAGTACATAGAAGCGACAGTAATGGGCCACATGTCCAACCAGGCCACAATAAAAATAAATAGCACAGTTGTCTTCCGCGCACCAAGGTTCGTCGGCTTATGCGTACTGTACGACTGGTCAGGCGGGCAAATAGGCGGATGACATGGGCTGTAACCTTGCAGCACAGGCCTAGAAGTGACTGCGGTGCACGTCAGGGGAGCAGCAGTCAGAGCCTGATGGAGAGAAGGCAAGACTTCTTCAGCAACTTGGTTGCTGATGATGTTTTGGAGAGCGGGCACCAATGGGGAAATTGACCGGTCATGAACAAGCGGCATCAGTAAAAGTTGACGAGCTACCACTTTACGGACGAATTCCTTAATCTGTAGCAGCAGAGATGAGTTGTAAGGAGCAACAGCCAATCGCGAAATTGAAGTTGCCTGTGAATGAGAGTGGCGGATGGCTGAGTATTGTTTCCGCAGCTCATCAAAACTTTGGCAAAAACTGCCAATCGCGAAATTGAAGTTGCCTGTGAATGAGAGTGGCGGATGGCTGAGTATTGTTTCCGCAGCCCATCAAAACTTTGGCAAAAACTGACAAGTTTAAACACTGTGAGCAGGTTTTTTTCCAGCAGCATCTACAAGGCATCACCTTCAATCTCTTTCAAAATATGCCTTATCTTATCGGCATTGGCCATTGTGACATCAACGCGGTTACAAAGGTTGACTATGTCTTCAATGTAGCTTGTGAATGTTTCAACAATCTGCTGCGTACGACCACACAACCGTTGCTCAGCATGAAGCTTGCGAACAGTGGGGCGCTCGAATACCTCTGTCATGTATATTTGAAAACAGCCCATGTTGGGAAGTCCCGTAGGTAGTTTCGATGCAACACGCTGGCAACGCCACTCAAATGAAATGACACATAGTTGAGCTTTGCCGTGTCATCTCAGTGGTTGATCACGGTTACCCATTCATATTCAGCGAGCCAGTCTTCAACATCCTCCTCTTCTGTACCGCTGAAGATTGGTGAGCCGTGTTGACGTGATGGGCCAGGGCAGACCAATGTAGGCACCGGAGCAGCAGGTTCTTTCCGTGGTTAATTTGGTACTCCATCCGGCATTGCAGAGGCTGGTTTTAGTTTTCGGTTGTGAAGTACCAGGTTTTCACAACCCAGCAGCTCCACCACTTCTTACAGAGGGTTTATTAAATTACGCAGCGACCGAGACGATAACAGCAACAACAAGCAAGACTTAGCCAGGTAGCAAACAGCTGAGCGAGCCAGCCAATGGCGATGCGTTTCTCCATGTTCTTTCTCACACATGGTATATTTTAATTAGTTTTCATTATAAGCTTGTAAGAAACACAGAAAAAAGCCCTATAAATCCCTTTATTTGACATAATTTTGTATTTCGTGGGCATTAGTAAGTAAGCAGAAAAACACGAACACTTGACAGAAAGTTAGAAAGCATCTAATCGTATGTTTTGCAAACTGATCTAGAACTTTCTCAGCAAAATATTTTCCGAGCTTCATTGCTTCAGTAGTTCGTACATTAATTTTGTCTGCTTAAGCAATTAATGAGAATATGAAAAATATTATGATTTACTGCATGCAATAGTGAGCAACATTTATTTGGTCGCGTGATCATATATGCATCGGCATATTCTTAAACTCATAGCTGGGGTAGCCACCCTAGGAGCATGGCTATAGAAGGCATCCCAATCACAAAAAGTAAATATGTAAGAATCGAAGTAGTTGAATGTGACTAAATCAAACCAACAAGATTGCCGCCATGCAAGAGTGCTACAGCCGATGGAATTTCAAGCAATTTTTGGAGCAGCAAAATGTAAATTTGCAGCAGGTTATGAGAAAAAAACATTCATTTTTTATCACAAAAGACCAAATTTAGAGCAGCATAGAAACGGAAATTGCATTTCAAATAAAGGAGTACGTGCTAACCATTGAACATCACCTAAATCGTGCAGAGTAAGGATGAGCACTGCTACTTGAATAACCACCTCACTGAGCAAACAATAATAAAGTCCACATTATCATTTGCCACGTTGGTGAAATTCTTTGACGGACTGTGAATTCAAATATAGATCTGCCAAGCAGGCAACCTTGAAATTCAGGGGATTTATTAAACTGAAGAATATGGGTGGCACTTTTTGTTTGTTTTTTGGTGGGTGGCGAAATAGTATACACTGCTCCAAATGATTGTCACTAACTTTTCAGCTATTTCAGACAATGCTCAAAACCAGAGCAAAATAATCTAAGGTCTAAATTATATAATCTACACAAGTAACCAAGAACTAATTGCAACAGTTTGCCTAAAATTGCTAAAAATACCTTTGAAATATGCGGCTGATATCCGCACTACACAAGAGAGGGTGCCAACACCTCACGATTGCCGAGGCAGTGGCAAGCGCGCGATTGCTAACGAAATTGCTGGGTTGCTTGTGCTATGCCAACACCACCTAAATACACAAGGCCTCACTACGCCACCATGACGTCATAGAGGTGAAATCGGCCTGGTAATCGGCTTCACTGCACCGAAACGGTATAGAGTTCACTACCTGTCTTTTTGCATGCAAACAGTCCGTGAATGTGAATTTAAATTTACCCTATGCATTGGTTCTTTCTTATGCGGAAGAGGTCACCACTGAGGAGGAGGTCACCACTGGCCATTTTTGTTGCTTTGTAACCTGTTCCAA